AAGAAAGAAAGAAAGAAAGAAGAGAGAGATATGGATGATGGAAGGAAGGGTGGGAGGGAGAGAGAGAGATGATGAAAGGAAGGAAGGGTAGGAGAGAGAAAGACAGGGATGGATAGAAGGAAGGAAGGAAAAAGAATTATATAAGCTTTTGTATGTGGTTGAGAAACGTGTCAGTGCATGTTCTTCACAATCTGTTTTAGGACAGGCTTGGCAGATAAACAACAGAAGAACAGAACTTAGAGCTTATATACACTGAGCACATAGGTGTTCTTATACGCTTTTATCGATATTCTGAAGTTCCCAGTGATCTATGTTTGTGCTAGATTCCTCCTAGAATTCTAACACTAGTATATAAAATGCTCAAAGTTAGAATCAAATTATAGAATTTTAGAATCAAATATTTTAGGGCTATCATTTGAAGGCTAAAAAACTACCCCTGACCATTAAATGGTGTAGTCTACTGTAGTTTGCATCTCTTTGTTGCTGTCTAGTGGTTCTCTGCCTTCCTATAGCTCTAAAAGGCAGTAATATTTCTTAAAAGTGGAATGCAAAACGATATACTTGTTACATATATTTTTCTTTTTTTGCAAATTGTACTGCATGCAAGTTATTTTGCGCAGCTTGATTTTTATGTTTCTAGAGAACACCTTTGACGATAAATATAATAATACTCAGTCATGCAATGTTATCTTTTTGTTTAGTATTAAGATTCTTATTAAGAAATAAAAAAAAACATAGGGAGAAGCCGCATGCTTGCAGGGCAGTTAAATATGTTATTTTTGGGCGGGTTCATTTCCTAGAGTGGTGTTTTATTCTGGAATCCCTCAATTCATTTTACCAACATTACCAGCAGCACAAGAAGCTGGAGAACTATTCCCATAGCACTTATCTGCTGTAGATGATCTTGTTAAATATGTAAAGATGAATTGTAAACATATTTTATAAAGATCAAATAAAACACATTCAGGTCAACTATGACTTATTCAAATAATAGAAAATAAAGCTGTTGTACTGCATTAGTTTAAGTCATGTAAGAAAGTTTGAAATCTTCCTGAAATTTCTCCAATCTTTAAAAATTATTTTAAAGAAACCGAAGATGTTTTATTAGCAGGAGTCCTTAAAAAAAAAAAGAAACCCACCTGTTTTATAGCTTATTTTTATTTTTAGAAATTTGCAGATCAAGCTATTTATTTAAAAAAAATTATTGACTAGATTTAAATTCTGGAAGATTTTAAGGAAAGTTAAAATCTTAAAAACAAATTAAAGTTACTATCAGTTTTAAAAAGGTAATTCTCAAGTTATGACCATTTGTTTAATGAGCACGAAACCTCATTAAAAAGTGACTTATGTGAGTGCAATTTGGGGAGGCTGGCATTTTTGAAACGTTGCAGCATTCCGTGTTCATGATTTACAACTATTTTGCAATTTTCTGGGACCCCCCAAAAATCCATTGGAAAAGCTGGATTCACTTAACTGTATGGTTTGTTTAACAACCTCTGATTTGCTTAATAATCTTGGGATTCACTTAACGATTATGGAAATACCAGTAATATAATTTAGCAAAGTAATTAGCCATTTTCACCCTCAAAATTATGAAAAATATTATTATTAAAATTATTGTTTTTATTCTTCTTCCAATAATTCACTGGTTATGATACTCTGAAGCTTATTTTGGTTAATAGGTGCTACTAAGAGGCCACTTACATTAGTCAACATGATGTTGGAAGTAACTTACAATTTTACAGATAAATATTTGCAACCTGGAATTCATACTGTGAATACTGAAGCCATATTTACTAAAATATTAAATTAAATCATTTTATTTTTATTTAAACTTATTTAAATTATATACATTAATTTCAATGAAACTGAGTGTAAGTGCACATATTTGTCATAAAGTAATTGGAGAAACATGACATTAAGCAATATTACTCTAACTACTCTCACTCTGTTTTCTGAGAGTATGAAAGAAACGTTAAAGCCACAATTAATCACAGAATCACTATTCTACTTTCTATATACATTTTCTCCTGACACAATCGTTCCCTTCTCACCATGTATATATTCAACATAGACGGTCATGCAAGAAAAACATGGGCAAACTGCACTATCATCGTTGGTTAAGAAATTTACTATGTCTGCATCCGGAAGTTAATAATCTTGGTTTCCTACTATTGTACAATTCATAACAGATGTGTTGACTGCTGTTTTGTGGAACAACTTTAACCGCTTGAATGAATTAGTCTAATCTCATTTTAGAAGACTTACTTTTTCAGGTTTGCATTGCATTCTCAATATTCTAAGTACAGGTAGCCCTCAACTTATAACCAAAGTTATGACAACGCTTAAAAAAATGAGTTACAACTGCTCCTTGCACTTATGACTATTGTAGATACATGATTGCAATTTGGGCACTTGGCAACTAGCATGTATTTACAATGGTTGCAGTATCCTGAGGTCACACGGTCATGATTTGTGACCTTTTCAGCTAGCTTCTAATAAGGAAGGTCAATGGGGAAAACTGGATTCACTTAATGACCTCAGTGAAAAAGGACATGTGTGGTCATGTGATGACTAATAGCACTGCTTGGTGACAGAACTTCTGATCCCAGTTGTGGTTGTAAGTTGAGGACTATCTATAACTTTTTATTTGTTTCCCTCCTATTCCCAAGTCTAGGGTTGGGGCTAGACTTACCATAGCACAAACATTTATTTTTGCTACCAACTAATGATTATGTAGATTTTTGCTACCTAGACCTGTTAGTTAAAAGAATTGGTTTAGTAGAACCATCTTTCCTTCTTTCAACCTGACTCAACCTGACTCAAGGCCTCCCTCCTCTGCCTCATAATTCCTCTTTTTTTTCTAAATCCTTTTAGACTGAGAACTGTGGAAAACAGACTTAATTTAAAAAAATGTAATTTCTGGCACCCATTCAGGAATTAAGTAATAGTTGATGGTAATGTTTTGTATATGTGGATGGGTGCAGATTTTTTAAAATAAACCAGAAGCAAACATAAATATACAAATGCTTTATTTGATAATATTGTTACATTTTCAGCATTCAAAATATCATTACAAGAATGCTATAAAAATGTGATCTTATCAGCAATGCCTTCTATGAATTGGTGAACAGCTGGCTTTCCCATCAGGCACTGAGGCACTAAATTTGGAGCCCAGGGATTGAAGAGATGAATAGGTATATTTATGGACTGGGCACCTGGTTTTTCTCAATTTTTCTCCCTTTCTTTTCTTTTTGAATAATTGTAGTTCTTATATTTGTGTTTTTAACACTGTTGACAACCATCCAAAATTGTGTGCTACAAGATAGGTGGCCATATAAATCTTTTAAATAAATAACGCAGAGTTAGTGAAAACATGAGGACTATGCAAAGCAAGAAACTGAACACAACATCTGAAGTACATTTCAGCTATATTATTAGAGCTTATCCTGCTCGGGACTTGCCTATACAGATAGTCCTTGACTTACAACTTCAACCATTCAAAGTTACAACAGCACTGAAAAAAAGTGACTCATTAACTGTTTTTCACACTTACTCCTGTTATAGCATCCCCTTGGCCATGTGATCAAAACTCAGATAATTGGCATTCATATTATTCATATTTATGATGGTTGCAGTGTCCTGCGTCATGTGATCACCTTTTGGAATCTTCTGACAAGCAAAATCAATGGGGAAGGCAAATTCACTTAACAAACATGTTACTAATTTAACAGTGATTAGTGATTTAACAGGTATAGTGATTCATTTAACAATTGTGGCAAGAAAGGTCATAAAATGGGGCAAAACTCACTTAACAAATGTATCATTTAGCAGTAGAAATTTGGGCTAAGATGTGGTCGTAAGTTGAAGACCACCTGTATGATGATCCCCAATCAAAATAAAACAAATATATACAAGGTTTGTTTCTAATGACTTTTACATAAGCTGTGTTTTATCTAACTGCTGATAAATTTTGCATTTTCTGAAAACAGACATAAGTGTGCACATGTGCATTGGATGTTGCTGGATACTTGCTTATATTAATTTTTGAAATGCTATTGCTTGTGTTTGCATATTAGAATTTACTATAAGATAAAAAAATCAATATAAAATGTAGAAGAAATCCATTTTCAGTCAAAATATTTTTTTCCGTGAAAAATATAGTGAACAAGGAGTCTATTTTTAATATGCTGTTCTATTATACAGCTGCTAAAAAGGCAAATACTATTTTGGGATGCAATTAACAGCAACACAAAGTCCAGGTAATGAGAAGTATCACATCAGACCCAATTGGAAATACCGGACACCAGCTCTGGATACTGTAGTTTAAAACACGTAATAATTGAAGCAAGTTCAAAAGACTGCACCTAAGGATGAGAATCTGAAAACTGCACAAATAGGAACAATAAAAGGATCTGTTCATTATTTGACTGAAGAGTCATCAGATAGCAATCTTCAAATATTTAAGGGGTTATAGGGGAGGGAATAGATTTCTTTATTGCTCCAGAATAGAACTACGGTAATAGGTTATCAAATTAAATCTTTATTATGCTGATAGACCAACATAAACTAATGGATTAAAACTGCAAAGGAAGTAGTTTCAAGCTGAGCATTAGGACAAACTTCCCAGAGCCAATTGCAAGCAGTCAAGAAACAAGTAGTGAGTTTTCTTTCTAGTGGGTTCCTTTCATTGGTTTTTTTTTTTTTTTTAGCAACTAGACAGTCATCTGTCACAAGTGTTCTAGTGAATCTTATAAACTAGGGCTGGACCAGATAATCTGTTTTTTTCTTTTCCAGCTCTACCGTTCAAACAACACATATGGCCAAAATAAAAAATAACACCTTCTATGACACAGGTGTCCAATTTTGGCAACTTTAAGACCTGTGGACTTCAACTCCCCAAATTCCCCAGTCAGCCATGCTTAAAGTATAACTCATAAAGTAGCTCAGGTTGGACACCCCTGTTCTATGGTGTTATACTAATGGGAAATAGATTGAAAAACAGAACGCAAAGAGCAATTGCAACAAAAGAGCAATTGCAACAAAACGCAAAGAGCAATTGCAAGACGGGAACCCCTGGCAAGATCAGATACATCCTGAACCACGAAAACTTCAGGCATAGAACTAGTGCACTGACACCTGCAATGAACCCAAGGGAGGTGACTGGGGACCGAGACAACCTTGCCTAAAGCTTCTGAAGGGAGTTCAGGGCAGGATCTGAGTGCCGGAACAGCCCCGACCTTCCCCAACCGGGTGCCCGCCAAATGTTCACCGCGTCTGGTGGGGAAAAAAAAAGACTGCTCAATACGCGCGTCTCTCCCGAGGACAACTAGTTTCGCTTGGGAGGAAAGTCGCGCGTCCCTCCGCCCTGCTTCCCACGCGCACCAGGCAGCCCGGCGCACTTACCACGTTGTGCGCCCGCCCGGGCCAGACTTACCGGCTGGGAACAGTTGAAAAGTGGCGGGGCGCTGAGGAGAAGCCTCAGCCCTGAAAGCCCAGGGAGCAGCCCCGCCACGAGCACCAAGCACCACGAAGCGTCTCCCTTCATCCTCCACGCCACCGCCGCCCTGCTCCCTAAGCGAGACCACCGGCCTCATTGACCTGGCTCCGCCCGTCTCTGGCTTCCGGGACTAAACTCGAAACGGGACGTTGGGGTGGAGCCTGAGGAAGCTCACCTGAGGCGGGGCATAGGCGGGCGGGGTGTGGTCTCCCAGAGAAGGAGGGCCTTCTCGGTGAGGGAGCGGCGGACGCGCGTTATCTTGAGGCGAGGAGGTGTGTGGGCAGGGCTTGCAGGAAAAGGTGGGCGGCCCTTCGCTTCTTCTGGACCGACGGTGCGGAGACAAGCTGAGGAAACCCGGGGGAGGGGGGCGAGCGGCGGCCGTTAGTTAGCTCGACTCTGAGTGTACCGGTTAGCTTTTCGAAGGGCGTCGATGCCAGTGCGTATTCTGGGGATAGGTTGGGAGGGTTTGACAGATATTATTATCAATATTGGGTTGCTGCTTTTATATTTATATCTTTTTGCTGTGGAAGGTCGGGGAATCTTAAGCCTTCCTTTTTTTCACGCCCAGACTCCACCGCCTCCTCGCCTTACTTTATTTATTTATTTGGTTTGTCAATTGCTTACAAGATAATAGGTATAAGTAAAAACATAGATTATGAATACATGGATACATATAAGAAAAATAAAAGAAACAATAGGACAGGGACGGTAGGCACGTTGATGCGCTTATGCACGCCCCCTGCAGACCTCTTAGGAAAGGGGTGAGGTCAATAGTAGACAGTCCAAGGTTAAAGTTTTTGGGGTTTGGGGAAGAAACCTTTTGCTAGCCCTGATGCCTGACAGAACCTCCCGCCCCCCAAGTCCTTCTGGAGTTCAAAAGCTAAAAAAGATACAGAGAGTTGAAATGGAAAACAACTGAAACAAGCCCAATTTCCTCAGAAAGAAGTAAACCTTTAAAAAGAAGCTATAGAAGAAAGCCCCTGGAAGTACTAAAGAAAATGCATTACGGACAGTTAATGCTTACGGAAAGATAAGGTTAGTCTGCTACAAATGAATGCTTTGTCCTGTGAGAGAGGACGAGGTGATTTATTGCATAAGTTACCAAAAACATCTTCCAAATCAGCCTAAATAACGGGCTAAAAGTACACACACCACAGTGGACTTTCACAGTGCTATTTTGTGTACAGAGAATTAACCAGCAGCAGCAGGTGTGCCTGAACACACAAATGGGTGTAAAAAGAAAAACGGTCTGAAGCAAATTCTGACTAGAATATATAGCCTTTTCCACAGAAAATGTTCCCTGCCCTCTTAAAGCAGACATTATCTCCTTTATTTTATTAAGATTTATCTTTCTTTTGGAAATTCCAGTTGTGAAGCTGTGGGGAACAATGTTTTTCCTTTTTATTTCAGCCTTTTTTTTCCTTCAAGGCCCTCTTCCAGTTTTGCCTTTTTCTGTAAAAGATCAGTGTGATAAGCTATTTTATTAACAGGCATAATCTTTCATGAGTTGCAGGTCACATTTGCATTTCATGGAGGCTATCATTTTTGGTGTCCAGCATTCAGTATTCATGATTGTGTAATATCTCCAGTATCAGTTATGATGGATATATGCCACTTCAGGTATCGAAGTAAATTATTCAGAACAAACATAGAGATTGTCTCTTTGCAGAGTTTTTTATAATCAGCTAGTTGTCTATACAGTGCTAGTGTCTTTTACAGTTTTATGTATTTGTAACAGGAGTTTTTAAGTAAGAAAAATCTTAAGGCAAGGCACAATAGAAATATATAAAATTATGCATGGTAGAAAGACAGTGGAAAAGGTTTTTTTTTTGCCTCCTGATATAAAAGTACAACCCATGATTATCCAGTTAATCAATGAAGCAGAATTCTCGGACTTTGGACAGATAAGGACTTACCTTTCTTAGAACATATAGTTAAATTATGATTTTCATGTCAATCCTTGCCAAGCTAAATGGTTTCAGAACAGATTCCATATATTCATTGAATTTACATTTATCAATAACTATTATATATAATGGCTATGTATTACTTTTATTGTCTGGCATTGTGTCTCACCATACAAATTGCTAGGCAATCAAAGAAACACTTGTGCTGATACCTTACTGGTTATGATCTTCACAGACAGCTGATCGGTCAATATGGAAACAGATGCTAGCTGAAATAGGCCTTTAGTCTTGATCCAACTAAGTTCTTATGTGGCAAATTGAAAGAAGTCCAATACTGATTGATACCTTACCTCAATGACCAACACAGAATATATACATTAATGATTTTAAATGATGATAAAATGTATTTGGAAACACAACAAAACCACATAGGATTGGGTTTCTTACAATGCTACAGATAAGAATGTTAAATCCAGACGTTTAACTAATCTAGAACAAGAACTGATTCAGATTTACTAGATAAAATTTAAGTCTGTTTTTATTGGGTTCTCAAATTATTAATAGAATATTCACATACTTTAAATATATCTTAAAATATAGGAATATATAGGTAGGACTATTTCTTGTGCAATAATTATCAAAGTAATATCAAAATAAATTTCATATCCTTTATAAATATAGAGTTAGAAGTGGGCATTTTCTCTATTATTTTTTGCTCTTTGGATTTTTTTTTTCAATAATCAAATCATGGTCTGGCTTCTTGTAACTTAATTCATTATAGCTCTTTTCAAATTATGTGTGTATGATTCATCTGTTTAAAGATAAATACTATTGAATTTTAATTTTTTCCTGCCCCTTTCAGTTTTATATTCTTATAATATCTTGCATCTTTCACATTTCTCTTATTGTAGTGAGTAGCATTTAGAATTGTAGGTATTTTGATGGGCACATGATATGTTCCATATGGAAAAATCCCTGAAGTGTTTATATAAACAGGAATGTACAACTGAGCATATTTTCTTGCAGTACAGTATAGCTATTCTGTACAACAGGGAAGATTGTTGCCTAGTGGAGGTTTTTTGGTTCAGTTTTTAAATTTAACCCTTAGCATTTTAATAGAAAACTATGGGAAATAGTTTTGTTAAATCTTTGTTAAAGTTTTCATGTCTGATTCTGATTTATTTCAAATTTTTCATTGCTCGTAATAATATTTGTGTGTGTGTGTGTGTGTGATTAGATAATGTATTTTTCTGATCTTGAGTATTATGCAGTTGTTACTGTCCTCTGTTGTGACTGTTGAACTGCCCTTTACCTGCAATAACTACATTTTTGGTGGTAGCAAATTAAGACTGATTCTGTTGCATTTTGCATTGATGGGGCTATTATAGGTAAGATTGGGATGAACACATTTATAAATAGATGACAATATCAGGCAAATTGGTCAGTTTGCCGTAGATTCCAAGAGGAAGGATTATATTTAGAAACAGTTAGGATAAACCAATAATGACATAGTTAAAAATTTATTAATAATTTTTAAAATAACATAATTCCTTAAATAAAAACGCAGTCGTACAGATATATACATTTGTCTCACACTGGCTCACTTCTGAACAATTAATTCTGTTTATTTAAAATATTTTAAAAGAGGGTGAGACTTTCTGTTTTTAACCTATGGCAGGATTGCATGGTTACAAAGTATACAGTTTTATTTTACAAGGGCAGTGCAGCCTTCTTGATTTCAGTTAAGTTCTTCAAAATTTTGAAACTGTAGGTGTGGTAAACATGTATACCTGGGCACATCTCTAAAATAGCATGAGCATTTCAGGTTAGAAAAAAGGGAAATGTGGAATAGACATATATCTCTTAACTGACTTACAATTTGAGAATCCAGTTAATTCACAAATCCAGACACTTAGAAAAAATATATATGCAAAAGGCTGTATCATGTAAATAAATATTTATAACTGATGGTCAGAAAGGCAGACTTCAAAATTATTCTCCAGCCTACCTTACAATGAAATTAGAAAAGATGGCTAATATTTTTTTCAGGATCAACCCTCTTAGCTTAATGGGATAAGGATAAATATGGCTCTCCCTGTACTGTGCTAAGCTGAAATCAGAGACAGTGATCTATAGGTATAATACCCTACATTATGTAGTTTTTAAAGTAAAATTACATAAATGGTTATTTCAAAAATCCTCATCTTTCTAAATTACATTTATTTAGGAATAAATCTTCCCATTCTCTATACATACATATTGAAGAAAGGCACAAGGTAGCCTCATCATCCAGACACTTTGAGATAATCAAACATATCTGCAATAGAGGCATCTTTGACATAGAGATAGTATTATAAATATTAAAATATCTATTGGTAGAGACATGCAGCATGTTTATTTTATGGAAGAATGCTGATATGGAAGCTCTGGGTATGTGAGGTTATAATATGCCTTATTTATGTATGAATCTCAAATTCATAATGAAAGATTCTGGATTTTTTTTCTTTTTTAGATGTACAGGCCTTGTAAGACACCTTTATCCAGTAATGTTATAGCAACTAATTGGAAGAATTCAGTTATTCTAATTCTAATGTATTTGTAGTATAGAAGATTAATAAAATAAATGTTGTTTTATCAACTTGCCCCTATTGACAGAAATTTACAAAACAATAGCTTATTGATAACAATGGGTTATCAATAATGGGTCAAGAACTTCAAATTGTCCTAAAATAGAAGGCCACATTATTAGTCTAGTTAATGTAATATGTTTAATGTAATATGAGAATTTTGTTGGAATAGATTCATGGTATATACACTGAAAAGAAAGCTGACATCTATTTTGTATTGTGCTTGTTGTTTTTAAGCCTTTGATTCTGGTTAAACCAGTGCAAATATACTAAGTCATGAACATTTTGAATTGCACAGGTATTATATTGGAAATATGTCCAGAGAAGAGATAGGAAATTAAGGCAAATAAGGAAAATGAAAGCAACTTAATTATATTTAAGAATATGATCACGCACATCTTCTTGAGTTTCTTGAAGGAACATAATTAAACTGTAATGAATAAAGTCAGAAAAATATGTGTTTAATTTTGCATGCCCAGGGAGAGAAGAAGCAGTTCATCAAATCATCAAGAGAACAAGAGCAAATTTCTATTTGCCCACCTTTTAATCATTCAGAGAAGTAACCACTATGCTTTTTTTCACTGTTCTCCATA